ACATGTCATGGTGACCTGGGATGCCCGAGAGTGCCCACTGGGTAGCTTCTGCCAGGAATTAGAGCCAGAGGGAAGAGACCTTGGAGCATGGCGCAGTTGGGGGCAGAGTCTCCAGTGCCTCCGAGAGCCTATGTCCTCTATGGAAGTGCAACAGGATTGAGTTTAGACAGAGCATCAGAAACCTTCAGAATAAGAACACTAACTAGCGGCTGTTGCATGCTTACTCTGTTCTGGGTAGTGTTTTAAGTGCTTGTATTATTCTATTTAATTCTCCTATCAACCCTATGATGAGGCACTATGATCATCTCCGTGTTACAGCTGTGGAAACTGAGACACAGAGAGGCTAACTTGCCCAATGTCACACAGCCGACCAGGGGCAGAGCTGGGCTCACATTTGTTTTTATTTTCAAGAATTGAGCCAAATATAGTCTCCATTCATCAGGCCTCTACTTAGTGCTGGCGTAGGACCAGGGGGTGGAGCAGGGATGGGGTGGGGGGAGTAGCTTCCAGGTTCCTGTGTATCTTCCATGAAGAGATAAGACATCCCCGAAGGTCCAAGAACGAATGGAGAATGGTCTGCTTGTACTCAAACTGAAAGATACTTTCACTCTTACTGGGGTTGCACCAAGTTCTCATTCTGACAGTTTTCATACGTTGGAGCATCAACCAATGGTCTAATGTGGCCTCAGCAGATGATCTGGTGGCATCAGGGAAGCACTGACCAAAGAAGGTTGGAGTGCTTGGGACAGCCCTTGGCTGGCTGTCCGGCCCTCCCTGGGGAAGTGGCAAGGTGTGAGCTGGCACTAAGAGGCCCTCTGCTTCCCTGTCACAGGCCAGGGGCTGTTTGGGGCTAAAAGAGAACCCAAAACGTTCATGGCAGCATTAGTCACAGTAGCGAAAAGTGGAAGCCGCCTAAAGGCCTATCGGTGGATGTGTGGATAAACAAAATGTGCTCTCTCCGTACAATGGGCTACTATGTGGCCATTCAAGGGAATGAAGCTCTGACATATGTTACACGAATGAATGTCAAAGAAATGATGCTAAAGGAAAGAAGCCGGACACAAAAGGTCACATTATATGATTCCACTGACGTGGAACGTCCAGAATGGGCAAGTCCACAGGGACACAATGCAGATGTGGTTTCTGGGAGCGGGGGTCTGGAGGCAGGGGGAGTGACTGCTAATGGGGACAGGGTTTCTTTTTGGGCCACAGAAGTGTTCTGAAATGAGACGGTGATGATAGCTGTACAACTTTCTGCATATACAAAACCCCACTGAACTGTGAACTTCAAAAGGATGAATATGGTGCAAAAACACTACCTTATGAAGCTGGGCTGTGGCAGAAAAGCCTGAGCTGAGGGGACACTGGGCCCATATTCAAACCTGGGATCCTCCACCAGCCTTGGCACGACCTTGGGCAAGTCCTCTCATGTCTCGGAGTCTCAGTTTCCTCATCTGTTAAATAGCACTGTTGTGAGAAAATATATCCCCAATGGGATTTTGAGAACGATAAAATGCTTATTTAAAATCACCTTTGCTAATTAGAGGCAAGGACTTACAGTGCTTGAGGGGTGAGCAGAGAGCCAAATAGGTCTGACCAAAGGTGACCTTCCACCATGGCCTCAGTATCCAGGGGTCTGGCGGCGTGGCACTCTCCTGCTGTGTGCAGAACAGTCACCTGTTGCTGAGCGGACACTGCTGGCTTGTTCTGCTCTCTCGCATCTTTAAAAAGAGTGCTGAGTTCCCAGCTACCGCCTTGACTGACAAGCCCACTCTGGTCTTCAGTTCTTCAAAAGAGTAGAGATGTGGAGGCTGAGATGAAAGGGAGGTTTCTGTATCAGCAAGAAGAAAAAAACCGCTTCATTTCTACCTTCTGTACATAATGCCCCTTGGCCCCACCTCTGCCTGGGACGTCCCAAGCTTTCACTGCCAAGAGTCCTTTGGCAGACTGCGTAGTCTCCCTCACCTTATAATGAGTGATGTAGGGGAAGGGACCACACGGGGACCTGGCTGGGCTCCAGGACTGCAAATACTATGCAATTCCCTGTGGACTGTGCATTGCTTTATTCTCCTTCCCAATCTCCAGAGGGCTTTCCAAGGTTTTCTTGGGGTCCCCAGGGAATGTCTTTGTTCTCCTCTATTTTGATCTGTATCTTACAACTTTCAAATCCCACATAAAGTGCTTTTTCTATACTCTCAGTTATTAGGGTTTCGTCACAGTCCTTCAGAAAGACACTTAATTAAAAATCCTTTGGAAGCTTCAATAAACCACGCACTGCCCTCTACCCGATGAAGAGCTCACCCCTCAACTCTGCCAGAGGAATTGAACTTACCGCGCATGAGTCTTGTCCTGCCCTTCCAAACTCTTGACTGTTTTTCTTCCTCATATGTATCCAGATAATGGATTCAGTATCCATCTGTTTTTCTTAGCACTAGGACAATGTTCAGGTTCTTTATTAAGACAGTTCATTAAAAATAAGGAAATTTAACCATATGCAGAATCCCTTCCCCTCCCTTATGAAAACAGTTGCCTCTCTCACTTGTCTGGTATTGAAAAATACAAGATTCCCGAAGTCAGGGTCAAGCAATGTCCAAACAGGGCCAGGGGCCAGGGGATCAGCTCACCCTCTCTGTGTTCACTCCTCAGTCCCAGTCCCAGGGAAGTCCAGGCCATATCCAAGGAGAATCCCCCGTGCCCTGGGCCTTTGCCAGCCGTGGGGCCACCCCATCCAAGGCGCGGTGCACTGGAATACAACAGTGCCCGAACGAACACCTTGCCAGTTCTCTTTACAGGATTGTTTGGGGGGGCGGGCAGGGGAGACACCAGTGTCTTAGGTCCCTGTTTCCTTTTTTCCTTAAATGTTTAAAAATCTGAATTAAAAACCGCTCCTTGCCACAAGTAAAAGGATGCAACCTCGCGGAACCACCGTAAGCAGCAGGATGTGGACAAGTTTCTGGCTGCCGGCCCCTTCCCGGTGCTCACCGCTTCCTGGGGAGACTAGCAAGGCGAGCTCTTGGGCTGCCTTTAGGAGCAGATCCTGACTAAGCCCGGCCCGCTCCAGCCCGCTAGGAGCATTGAGATAATGAATGAGAAAGGGCTCCTGGCGGGAGATTGTTGTTCGTGCCCAGTGCCTCCCCCGCGGCGAGCGCAAGATTGGGAGGAGGGCGGGGGGCGGGTTTCATCTGCAAACAAGGATGCATTCCTGTGTTGGGCTTTTCAGCTAAGTGCGCTCAGTCTTGTTTTCAGACGAGTCTGTCTTGGCCTCAAAGGTCCCCGAAGGTCGAAGTCTCTCGCGAAACCCGCCCCCAGCCCCCCCGTGTCCGCCCAGCGCCCCGCGGGGCAGGAGGCGGCAGTGTCCAGACGGTGGCACTCCGGGACAGCGCAACCCCTTTCCCCCACTGCAGTAAGAAGGCCAGGCTTGGGAGACAAGTTTCAAGGCGTTTGCTCAGATTTTCTGGGAGACTTCTCGATAAGATCCATAACTTTTAGTAGCAGGCAGAAATCCATTCCCGTGCCCGAGGTTGTGGAAGGAGCGAGGACCAGAGCCCTTCGGATTTCCCGTGGCCCGCGCGCTCCCGGAGCCTGGGCCAGGGCAGGGAACCAGTACGCCTGGGGAGGGAGGTGCGCGTGGCTAGGAGGCGGCCCGGTCCGGGGGAGGTTGAATGAGACCTTTGGCAGGGGATGGCAGGGGATGGCTGGGGAGAAGGACCGAGATTTGTTCTGCCAGGGGCGGGGACCGCTGTTCTGCTGTTGGTTTCTTGGCTGCACCCCCTTCCCCGCCCCCCGGCCCCCCGCGCCTGTCCCGCCGCTGCGGCGCCGTCCCCGGAGCCTGCCGGAGCGCCCTGCGCCACTCTGCAGGGCGCGCGGAGCACCTGGAGAGGTTTCTTTGAAGGCATGGCAGCCCAAGAGAAGGGCTTTCTTGCCGGTTTTACTTTTTCCCAACCAGCCTCTGCGCTCCCGCAGCCCGGGTGTGCGGCAGCCGGGAAGGAGCTGGGCTCCAGTTCTCGCTCGACCCAAGTTAGGGTCGAGCGGCCACAAGGTACTCCCTTTGCTCCCAGACTGCAGACTCGCTCCCGGCTCCCAGAGCCGCGCGCAAGGGCCATCTCTCGGAGAGCCCAAGTCCATGATCGGGCTAAGTGGCCATCCGCCGCTGCCACTTAAGGGAGCCAACCGGGTTCTGGTAGGCCCTGGAGTGGGGATAGCTTCCTCAGAGACTGGGGACCCAGACTGGGGACAGAAGCCCCTGGCAGCTGTTCCCCTCTCACCACGGAGTGCAGAAGGCTCTGCAGAGGCGACAGCGCCTGGAATGGGATAAACATCTCAAGGAGACGCTAGGGGCATATATCTAGGGCCCAGGGAGCTGCTGGGTGCCCCTGACGTTCTTCCGGGGGCTTCAGACTGACTTGGGTGGGCCCTGGACACCAAGAGGGCCCCCAAACCCCTGCTATGCATTCTGTGTCGCTTTCCAGGGCATTTGCGTTGGAGGGGGAGGGAGAAGAACTTGCTTGAGACAGATGGGATGCGAAGTAGCTGGTGAGGGGTGGATTCTGAGCTCATCACGATACCTAAGGGATGTTGATGGTGGGGAGCGGCTAGAGGGGAAGCACATACAAGAAAGACACTTGGAAGCAAGACAACACCTCGATGTGGATTTGTCCAAGAAGAGTTGTTGACCAAACGGGGGGTGGTCAAGGAGCTATGATTGGTCGGGGAGAGGGACTTGGGGTGGGGCTAGCCACCTCTTGAGGCTTTAAAAGCTCATCGGAGAGGGCTGGGATGCTGCCATTTTGCTCTCTGATTCTCAGAGGGGAGGCAGGTTCCCAGAAGCTCCTGGTGACAGAGCAGGTGTACGTCTTTTCTGCACCTGCTGGGAGATCCTAACGGTCTCCAGCAGCAACATGGGGTCTGCTCTGGCTGCTCCCGCTCCATACGGCTGTATTGGTTGTAAGGTGCCACAGCCGGACTACCCACCGGCTCTAATCACCTTCATGTTCTGCGCAATGGTTATCACCATTGTCGTAGACCTAATTGGCAACTCCATGGTCATTTTGGCTGTGACGAAGAACAAGAAGCTCCGAAATTCTGGTAAGCCACCCTTCCTTCTCCCTATCCAGCGTTCTGCCACTTGCCATCCCCAAAGTGTTAATTTGGGTGCCCAGAACAGGGAGCCCATCGACAGTGCCCTCACATTACACGTTCCTTCTAAATACCCCGCGAACCCGGGCGGTGCTGTTCTGCTGGGGCCCCATTAGCCTCGAGCTTCTTGAGGCCGACGGAGCTCTGCGAATCAGCTTTGGGCGTCCAAGGGCAAAGCCCGGGTTCCCGTGGTGCGCGGCAGACCTCCCAGCCCTGCCCCGTCGGGAACTGATGCCGAGGGAGCGGGCCCCGCAGCGGACAGTCCAGCGGCTGCCTGGGGACAGCACGCCGAGCCGGACGCCGCAGAGGCAGCTCGGACACAATTGACGCGGAGGGAGCAGCGGGGCGGCGACCCGCTGGGCGAAAGTTAAGTTCGCGGCAGCTGCTAAGCGCTTACCGGAGGAGAACGGCGCAGTGGCCGCACCCAAGCCCGGCCAAGCCGCCGCTCCCTGCGGCCCTAGGGCTCCCGTCGGCTCCCGGGCGGCAGCTGCGCTCAGAGCCAGAGCCCGAGTGTGCAGCAGGCGGTCCGAGCCCGCCAGAGCCGAGCTCCGTCCGCGCATCCTGGGGCGCACGGCAGTGAGCCGCTGCGGTCCGGGCGCAGCAGGCGGCGGCAGCGGAGATCCCGAATTCCGTAAGCGGGGTACTGGGGTGGGGGGCCGCCGGGTGGGACGACGGAGAGGGTCGCGGGCTTGGCGTCTCCAGGACAAGGAGACAGCAGGCAGCCCTGGGCAAGGCTCGCGGGAGAGCTGCGGGAGAGCCGGGGGGTGGGGGGGAGGGTTGGGGGGCGCCGAGGGACTGCGAAGCTCGGGGACCTGCGATGGGGTGCGGCGGCAGGCGGGACCCCCCGGGCTGCCAGCCTGTGCCAAGGGGGGCCCCGCTGCTAGCGGGGCGGCCGGGGCCGCAGATGCTGAGAAGTGGCGAGCCCTCCGCGTGGGCTGGTAGGCAGAGGGGAAGGGGTCCCCCAGCCCCCCAGCCCAGGTCAAGCCCGGAAGGGAGGGTGGCCGGCCAAGAGGCCAGGGGCGGGAGGAGGGGACCCGGCACCCAGCGGCCCAGGGCAGGCAGAGGAGGTGGCCAGAGCCTGGGGAATTTCTGTCGTTGGGCGAGGAATCACCAACATCACACAAGTTTCAAAATGCACTGACAGGCACAGGGTCATTCAAAGTTCTCTTTGGAACTCTGGTGGGTGCGCCTGATCGTTCCTTGGCCCTCTTGGGGCGTGGGGCCACACCTTCATTCCAGCAGTGGGTTCCCGAGGTGCGGGCCCACGGGGCCCGGGGCCCCTAGCGAAGCCCATTTACTTTTTACTTCATTGCTTTTCTGTTCCTCCGTCTCCTTACCTTCTATAATTCAAGGAAAGGTTTTTATGGTTCTTGCGGTTTGGTTTTGAAGGCTTTGCCCTCTCTTGTTCCCTTGTCTTCTCCTAATTCATTATTTTCAGGTAAACTCTAGAAAGAATTTCTTGGGTAGAAAGCAGAGAGGCTGCGCCTTGGCAACGCCAGCGTAAGGAAGCAGGAGGAGCCATTCCTTTGCCCTTTTAAAAGGAGCCCATTTTCTCTCAGTCCAAGATGAAGTGCAGTATTTTGCCAAACCAATGCTAATTAGCAACGAGGTGTTTCCAAAAACAGAGGGCTCTGCGCCTGCACTTGGCCTCTTACTTCTTTTTTTGAAAGGGTTTTACAAAAACGTTCCCGCCTGGGCCCTGCAAAAGGGGAGGGGACCCCCCCCCCCGTTCACTTTCCAGCTCAGCCCGCGGCTGGCGCAAATCTCAGGGCCAGGGGCCGGCGCGTGGCTCTGCGTGTGGACCCGCACCCGGCCGGCACTCCTGCGAATCCTCTCAGGGCTTTTCCTGATTTTTTCCCCTCCCTGCTCACTATTTCTTTGGTCTCACACTAAATTTTACAGGGTTCCCCTCGCCCCTTCCCCTCAGTTTTTACGCTCAGAAATGTTAAGTATTTACGGGGCTGATCTTAGATTACCGTCTGAGACAGTTCTCTGTAGACGTGTTTGCATTACAAACGCAATGCCAGGCTAGAGAAGACACGGCTAATCACTTTTTTTGGGTGGGGATGTTTGAGGCTTCCTGACATTCCTCTAATCTCTCCCTTTCCCCCTCCACCCTCCAGCCTGCTTTCCAACGACAGCTTCGTCTAGCTCACCTCTACTCCCCTCTCCCTTCTCTACCCACCCCCTGTAGGGGAGAAAGTTTGCGTTTTGTTTTTGTACAAAATGGTGGCAGCATGCAGCAAGTGGGTGTGCAGACGTCCTCAAGGGGCTTTTGTGCTTACTGCTTTCTTTCCCAAAGCAGAAGTGATGTTTGAAAGGAAAAAAAGGTGGCCAACGGACAGGTCCTGCAAACCTAGTTGTGCATCGGAATCACCTGGGACATGCTTGTAAATAAAACTGAAAACACAACTGTATTTCTTTGAAAGGATTCTAGAATTCTAAATTGTCATGAGTCCAGCTGGCTTTTCCCTCCAGCTTAAATTTGTAGACTTCCAAACTTAACCATTTATTCTTCTCTGTTACCACCTCCCCCCATGTGTTTTTCAGGCAACATCTTCGTGGTTAGCCTCTCTGTTGCCGATATGCTTGTGGCCATCTATCCCTACCCTCTGATGCTGCATGCCATGGCCATTGGAGGCTGGGATCTGAGCCAGTTCCATTGCCAGATGGTCGGATTCATCACAGGGCTGTGTGTGGTCGGCTCTATCTTCAATATCGTGGCAATTGCCATCAACCGTTACTGCTACATTTGTCACAGCCTCCAGTACGAGTGGATCTTCAGTGTGCGCAATACTTGCATTTATCTGATCATCACCTGGATCATGACTGTCCTGGCTGTCCTGCCTAACATGTACATTGGCACCATCGAGTATGATCCTCGCACGTACACCTGCATCTTCAACTATCTGAACAACCCTGTCTTTGCTGTGACCATCGTCTGCATCCACTTCGTCCTCCCTCTGCTCATAGTGGGTTTCTGTTATGTGAGGATCTGGACCAAAGTGCTGGCGGCTCATGACCCGGCTGGGCAGAATCCTGAGAACCAGCTTGCTGAGGTTCGAAATTTTCTAACCATGTTTATGATCTTCCTCCTCTTTGCAGCGTGCTGGTGCCCTATCAACGTGCTCACTCTCTTGGTGGCTCTCAGTCCAAAGGAGATGGCAGGAAAGATCCCCACCTGGCTTTATCTTGTAGCCTACTTCATAGCCTACTTCAACAGCTGCCTCAACGCTGTGATCTACGGGCTCTTCAATGAGAATTTCCGAAGAGAATACTGGACCATCTTCCATGCTATGCGGCACCCTATCCTGTTCCTCTCTGGCCTCACCAATGATGTTCGCGAGACGAGGGAGGCCCGTGCCCGTGCCCATGCCTGTGAAGAAGCCCAAGCTCATGCTTGTCCCACTGTGGAGGAAATGCCAATGAAAGTCCGGAATGTTCCACTACCTGGTGATGCTGCAGCTGGTCAACCTGAGCGTGCCTCTGGCCACCTTGAGCCAGCCTCTGGCCACCTCAAGCCAGCCTCTGGCCACTCCAGGTCTGCCTCTGCCTACCGAAAATCTTCCTCTGGACATCACAAGTCTGTCTTTCGCCACCCAAAGCCTCCTGCTGGCTATTCCAAGTCTACTGGTTACCCCAAGTCTGCCACTATCTACCCTAAGCCTGCCTCGGTCCATTCTCAGCCTGCCTCTGATCACCCTAAACCCGTTACTGGCCACCACATCCCTGCTGGCAGCCCCTCCAAGACTGCTTCCAGCCCTGCCACCAGCTACCTGAAACCCACCACTGGCCACACCAAGTTTGCTACCAGCCACTCTGAGCCCACCATTGCCAGCAATCTTGAGCCTGCTGCCACCAGCCACCCTGAGCCTGCCATTGCCAGCCATGCTGAGCCCACAGCTGCTGGCCACCCTGAGCTCACTGCCTCTTGCCACCCTGAGACCACCGCTACTGGCCACCTTGAGTGTGACATCGCTGACTGCCCCGAGCCTGTCTCTAGCCCTGCCAGTGGGTCCCTCGAGTCTGCTGCCAGCGCACTGGAGCCTGCCCCTGCTGCTGACATTCTTGACCTCACTGTGGTCACCACTGCCACCAGTGATTGCCATGAGGTTGTGGTTATCAGTGTTGAAGCTGTTTCTGATGAGATGGCTGTGTGAAAAGTGCTCTTAGGAGGGGTGGAGCATATGTAATCCGAAGTGAGATTACACAGACAGGCACATGCAGACACTGACAGACATGGTGTAAGCTGCATCCACCTTTTAGGCATACTCCTCCTTTACGTATGTACTCTGAGTGTATGTGCGTGTGTGTGCTTGCTATTTTATAGACCAAATTTGCCTCAAGTTTTACATGCTGTTCTGAGCCTTGCTTACCTCCTGATGGTTGCCCTTGAGCCCACACTGGTCCTTGAAATCGCAGACTTAGATTACCCCCTCCTCCCGTGTCCCCATTTCCTCCAATTGTTCCTGCTTTCTTCTCCCCTTCCTTGAGGTGTGGGAGGGGAGGGGTGCATGTGCGCTGGGAAAGGGGTGCTGTGGTGGGGGCTTCTGTCAAGTGAATGTGACCGCTGAGCTTTATGTTGTAAGTGGGTAACTCTATGCTGTACTTTTAATGGTAGTCAGGCAGTTGTGATAGAATGTGAATACCGGAAACTGTCTTTTCTAAATTCCAGCGACAAAATATGACTCGTATCTGAAGAATGATTCGATAAGCTCTTATGAAAATGAAAATGAATTTTATGCCTATGAGATCAAATGGCAGAAGAAAAGATAATGGCTGCACTGAATTATTTCTGTCTTTTGAAAATTCGAACACCGGTGCTGATTTTTATTGTCAAACATGAATGTGGAATGGTGAGATGTTTTACCTTATTTGTAGTCATGTACTTTTTTTAAAGTATTTGCCAGGATTTTCTTTCATTTAGTTCCAGAGAAACGAGTTTATCACAAACTAGTTTCTTCTCCTAAAATCCAAATTTACGGTTGCTAGGATCAATTAGTCGTGTTTTGAATATTAGAATTCATAACTGCTCTTTTCCTCAGACATTTTTTTCCAACAGCCTGATGCCTCTACAGTCTGTTTTCACATTTTTCTTTTTCATTCAAAAGGGAATTTGAGGTAGTAGCTGGAAGCCAAAACTGAATGGAGTGCAGCCTGGAGGGTGTGAATGCTGTTTCTGCCTCCTCTCTCTGGGCCTCCCAACTGGGGAGGGAGGTGGGGTTGGGAGGAGGCCAACTCCAGCGTCCCCACCACCCTTGGCTGAGCTTCAGTGGTCCACAATGTTAAGTTGTAGATGTCTTGTATCAGCACACTTGACAGCCCAGGAAATGATTTTTCTCTAGGTTTCAAGAAAAAGTTGCTGTTTAATAGAAATTTAAATTATTGATTCAAACTGACACTTCAAGCAAAATTATCTGTACAAAAAGCTTGTGAGGATAAGTGGAAATGTATTACACTGCCTTAATTCAATTCTGTATTTGTGGTAGCAAATAAAAGTGTTTTTGTGGCTTTGGTGTGTGATTGATTGATAAATTCGCTTGCTTCACCAGACTTACTTGTGGGGAGGGCTGGTGAGTAGGTGGAAGACCAGTGACCTTGGGGATCCAAAGACCTGGGTGCAAGCTTGCTCTAGCCCAGAGCAAGTCACGTGACCCTCTCGCCTCAGTTCCTTTACCCAGCACGGTGGCGAGGTCCGAGTGGGCTGCTGGATTTGATGTGCTCTTCTCACCAGAGCAGTGATGACGGGTGACCTGACCTGACCTGCGTGCTCTTGGCCTTCTGGACCTCGCCTGCCATGGCTTCTGAAAATAGGCCCCTTCTACTTCCACGCAAGGAGTGAATCCAGGCCCCAGTGATGTCACAACTCCAGAGGCTGCTGGGTCAGAGAAACAACTCATGGGGCAGTGGGGGCAGGCATAGGAGTTGGGGGCAGGACAGGTGGTTTCCTCTCCAGCTGGAGGAGGGGCGGCAAGACCCCAGCCACTGGGCAAAGCTCAGGACTTCAAGAACACAGTCTCAAAAGAATGTCTAATGACAAGGAAAAGCCCCAAATAAACTGCTCCATAAAAATGAAAGTGCATTCAAAATAATACACAGTAGGATATCAATCTTGTTAAAATACAGAGACTTAAAGCATGCACATATACATAGACACAGAGTTGTACATATGTAGTTGTTCTATACAGGTTCAGCTAGACTGTGAGCATAGACTGAGGTCACCTTCATTTTTCACGCCCAAATTACAGTGCTTTGAGCCCCGCCAGAAAGACTGCTGGACCTCAGGCTAATGCCCTGGGCATAGATTCTGCCAAGCATTCTCCAAAAGGGGGCTTACTCATGTGCTCACATCCTGGTCTACAGGCAGCAGCCCCTCCCCATGTTTTCCGTTTTCCCTCTTCCTTGGGTGAGACTGGTATTGTTCAGACTAACGGTGCTTTCCAGGGGCTCAGGGGTGCTGAGAGCAGCTGGTAGGGGTGAGAAAAACTCAGGGTACTTCTTTTTCTTTTTGCTATCATTAATCTACAATTACATGAAGAACACCATGTTTACCAGGCTTCCCCCCTCACCAAGTACCCCCCCCCCACACCCCACCACAGTCACGGTCCATCAGCGTAGCAAGATGCTGTATAATCACCACCTGTCCTCTCTGTGTTGCACAGCCCTCCCCGTGCCCCCCCACACTATACATGCTAATCTTAATACCCCCCTTCTCCTTCCCTACCCTTATCCCTCCCTTCCCACCCATCCTTCCCAGTCCCCTTCCCTTTGGTAACTGTTAGTCCATTCTTGGGTTCTGTGATTCTGCTGCTGTTTTGTTCCTTCAGTTTTCCTTTGTTCTTATACTGCACATATGAGTGAAATCATTTGGTACTTGTCTTTCTCCGCCTGGCTCATTTCTCTAAGCATAATGCCCTCTAGCTCCAGCCATGTTGCTACAAATGGTAGGATTTGTTTTCTTCTTATGGCTGAATAATATTCCATTGTGTATATGTACCACCTCTTCTTTATCCATTCATCTACTGATGGACACTTAGGTTGCTTTCATTTCTTGGCTATTGTAAATAGTGCTGTGATAAACATAGGGTGCATCTGTCTTTTTCAAACTGGAGTGCTGCATTCTTAGGGTAAATTCCTAGAAGTGGAATTCCTGGGTCAAATGGTAAGTCTATTTTGAGCATTTTGAGGAACCTCCATACTGCTTTCCACAATAGTTGAACTAATTTACACTCCCACCAGCAGTGTAGGAGGGTTCCCCTTTCTCCACAACCTCGCCAACATTTGTTGTTGATTGTCTTTTCGATGATGGAGATCCTTACTGGGGTGAGGTGATATCTCATTGTGGTTTTAATTTGCATTTCTCTGATGACAAGCAATGTGGAGCATCTTTTCCTGAGTTTGTTGGCCATCTGAATGTCTTCTTTAGATAACTGTCTTTTCAGCTCCTCTGCCCATTTTTTAATTGGATTATTTGCTTTTTGTTTGTTGAGGTGTGTGAGCTCTTTATATATTTTGGATGTCAGCCCTTTATTGGATCTGTCATTTATGAATATATTCTGCCATACTGTAGGATACCATTTTGTTCTATTGATGGTGTCCTTTGCTGTACAGAAGCTTTTCAGCTTGATATAGCTCCACTTGTTCATTTTTGCTTTTGTTTCCCTTGCCCGGGGAGATCTGTTCATGAAGAAGTCACTCATGTTTATGTCCATGAAATTTTTGCCTATGTTTTTTCCTTAGAGTTTTATGGTTTCATGACTTACATTCAGGTCTTTGATCCATTTCAAATTTACGTTTGTGTATGGGGTTAGCCAGTGATCCAGTTTCATTCTCTTACATGTAGCTGTCCAGTTTTGCCAGCACCATCTGTTGAAGATGCTGTCATTTCCCCATTGTATGTCCATGGCTGCTTTATTGTATATTAATTGGCCATATATGTTTGGGTTAATGCTTGGAGTCTCTATTCTATTCCACTGGTCTGTGGCTCTGTACTTGTGGCAATACCAGATTGTCTTGATTACTGTGGCTTTGTAGTAGAGCTTGAAGTTGGGGAGCGAGATTCCCCCCACTTTATTCTTCCTTCTCAGGATTACTTTGGCTATTCGGTGTCTTTGGTGGTTCCATATGAATTTTTGAACTACTTGTTCCAGTTCATTGAAGAATGCTGTTGGTAATTTGATAGGGATTGCATCAAATCTGTATATTGCTTTGAGCAGGATGGCCATTTTGACGATATTCATTCTTCCTAGACAAGAGCATGGGATGAGTTCCCATTTGTTAGTGTCCTCTTTAATTTCTCTTAAGAGTGTCTTATAGTTTTCAGGGTATAGTTTCAGACCAATCTGGATTCCTTGTATTTCACTTCCTTGGTTAGGTTTATTCCTAGGTATTTTATTCTTTTTGATGCAATTGTGAATGGAATTGTTCTCCTGATTTCTCTTTCTATTAGTTCATTGTTGGTGTATAGGAAAGCCACAGAGTTTGGTGTGTTAATTTTGTATCCTGCAACTTTGCTGAATTCCGATATCAGTTATAGTAGTTTTGGAGTGGAGTCTTTAGGGGTTTTTATGTACAATATAATGTCATCTGCAAATAGTGACAGTTTGACTTCTTCTTTACCAATCTGGATTCCTTGTATTTCTTTGTTTTGTTTAATTGCTGTGGGTAGGACCTCCAGTACTATGTTGAATAACAGTGGGGAGAGTGGGCATCCCTGTCTTGTTCCTGATCTCAGAGGAAAAGCTTTCAGCCTCTCGCTGTTCAGTATGATGTTAGCTGTGGGTTTATTATATATGGCCTTTATTATGTTGAGGTACTTGCCCTCTATGCCCATTTTGTTGAGAGTTTTTTTTATCATGAATGGATGTTTAATTTTGTCGAATGCTTTTTCAGCATCTATGGAGATAATCATGTGGTTGTTGTCCGTCTTTTTGTTCATGTAGTGGATGATGTTGATGGATTTTCAAATGTTGTACCATCCATCCCTGGGATGAATCCCACTTGGTCATGGTGTATGATCCTCTTGATATATTTTTGAATTCGGTTTGCTAATATTTTGTTGAGTATTTTTGCATCTACGTTCATCAGGGATATTGCTCTGTAGTTTTCTTTTTTGGTGGGGTCTTTGCTTGGTTTTGGTATTAGGGTGATGTTGGCTTCATAGAATGAGATTAGGAGTATTCTCTCCTCTTCTATTGTTTGGAAAACTTTAAGGAGAATGGGTATTATGTCTTCTCTGTATGTCTGATAAAATTCCAAAGTAAATCCATCTCTCCCTGGGGTTTTGTTCTTGGGTTGTTTTTTTGATTACCGCTTCAATTTCGTTGCTGGTAATTGGTCTATTTAGATTTTCTGTTAGTTTCTGGGTCAGTCTTGGAAGGTTGTATTTTTCTAGGAAGTTATCCATTTCTCCTAAGTTTTCCAGCTTGTTAGATGTAGGTTTTCATAGTATTCTCTAATCATTCTTTGTATTTCTGTGGGGTCCGCCATGATTTTTCCTTTCTCTTTTCTGATTTTGTTCATGTGTGTTGATTCTCTTTTTCTCTTAATATGTCTGGCTGGAGGCTTATCTATTTGGTTTGCTTTCTCATAGAACCAGCTCTTGGTTTCATTGATTTTTTCTATTGTTTTATTCTTCTCAATTTTATTCATTTCTTCTCTAATCTTTACTATGGCACTACTTCTTCTGACTTTAGGCCTCATTTGTTCTTCTTTTTCCAATTTCGATAATTGTGACTTTACACTATTCATTTGAGATTGTTCTTCCTTCTTTAAATATTCCTGGATTGCTATATACTTTCCTCTGAGAACTGCTTTTGCTGCGTCCCACAGAAGTTGGGGCTTTGTGTTGTTGTTGTCATTTGTTTCCATATATTGCTTGATCTTTATTTTAATTTGGTCACTGATTCATTGATTATTCAGGAGCGTGTTGCCAAGCCTCCATGTGTTTGTGAGCCTTTTTGCTTTCTTTGTATAATTTATTTCTAGTTTTATACCTTTGTGGTCTGAGAAGTTGGTTGGTAGAATTTCAATCTTTTTGAATTTACTGAGGCTCTTTTTGTGGCCTAGTATGTGGTCTATTCTGGAGAATGTTCCATGTGCACTTGAGAAGAATGTGTGCTGCGTTAGGGTGTAGAGTTCTTTACTGTCTATTAGGTCCATCTGTTCTAGTGTGTTGTTCAGTGCCTCTGTGTCCTTACTTATTTCCTGTGCATCTGTCCTTTGGAGTGAGTGGTGTGTTGAAGTCTCCTAAAATAAATGCATTGTATTCTATTTCCTCCTTTAATTCTGTTTGTGTTTGTTTCAAATATGTTGGTGCTCCTGTATTGGGTGCATATATATTTAGAATGGTTATATCCTCTTGTTGGACTGACCCCTTCATCATTATGTAGTGTCCTTCTTTATCTCTTGTTACTCTTTTTGTTTTCTGAATTCTATTTTGCCTGATACTAGTACTGCAACACCTGCTTTTTTCTCCTTGTTGTTTGCATGAAATATCTTTTTCC